CACAGAACTTCACACTCCACTCAGTTTTACCTTTGTCGTGTGATCGTGCACTATATAAAGGCAATGTATAAAACAATCTCAGGAATTCTGTTCAGGGAATATGTTTCTATTTTTGAATTGTACCTTGTTACTCATGTATTAATCTAGTTTCCCTTCCACTTTGTCCATGGTGGAAGGTATCGGCAGCAGTGTGATCACGTTGCCATACATAGTACAAAATTCTCTCTAGTGCTGCTTTGTGCAAACAGGACCATGATAAGTTTGAAGCAAAAGTTGGTGAGTTGGGTAGCTGCTCTGCGGACAGCAGGTGTTCACAGATATGGAGTAGCAGTTCCAATCCTTTGTGATTTATACTTACTTTTTAATAGCATATAACTCTTGTCCCCTTGTGCCTCTCCAGAGAGGGCTGTTCCACAGATGCTTGCCTGTCTCGATATTTTACCTCATTTTTGCTTTCTGGCCTGCTGCTGAGGTGAGGTCACCATGTCAGGTCGAGCCACCTACCTCACAGACTGTTCTCGCCTGGTATGTGGATCACCTCTGCCCAAGCCAGTGTTGAGTGTGAAATGCACAGTGATAAAACACTGGCTGTTGTTTGTCAAGAACTGAAAGTATACACCTCAGAATTTAAATGTTCTGAAGGATTGCCTGCATTCAATACTTGATCCATGGTTTGTGCATGTAGGACCTGTTGTTGACATAGTTAACTAATTGTATGTTTCCTTTTTGTATTAACACATGCAACCGACTCAGGAGCCTTTACGAGTTGTGCAACGATTGCATGCACTCGAAACAAGTTGCATATTGTACTGTTGTGCTACCTCAATACAGGATATATACATTTTCATATATTACAAATATATATATTTATATTTACACATATAGTATTACAGATTACCTCATGGCTTCCCCAACAGGGGTCAGCCACCACGCCTCGCCTGCGAGCCCCCGGGTCCAAAGGCAAGCACTGTGTGATATCACTCTCTTGTAGGATGCCCCTTTTCCAACCTTGCCTGAATCAGGGATTGGAGAATTTTTTTTATTGGGAACGTTGTGTAGTAGTTCCTAGGTACAAATAATATTAATAATTATATAATAATGCTAATAATAATAGTAATTTTCTTAAATGAACCCTATGGAGAGAGGCATCCTCCCTACACTCATCACAACTCACCTTGATTTGCATTGGTGCTACTCCAACAGGGCGAGGGTCTGCATCTGAAGCACTCAGGTTGTTGCTGGTTCTGCATTTTTATGCATTATTGCTTGCTTCCCATTTCATCCCCGTATCTTTTTAGCAGTGTGAAGGAAAGTTGTTAATTTATTGCAAATAACAGGTGGAATATGTGGAAGTGAAATTTAAAAAAAACTCACTTGAAAAATTAACACAGATATCCAAAAGTGTCTGTGCACAAGTACAAGATATTGCTGTACAAATTACGCAAACATTAATGGTAGATACAGTGTGGTTGTGTGTGGGTGTGTGAGTATTTGTGTTTAGTTTTTTGCTGATAGCTGTTTGTAAACTGATAGTTTCTTTATCACGCAATGTCTGAGTGTGTCTAGTTAGAAGTACTGGACATGCAAGAACTATTCGATATATAGTGGCATTTCTGAGTAACTATTTGGTCGAGGAGAGACCAAGCTCAGAGATGCAGTTAATACTGAGAAGCATATTGGTTCAGTGTTATAATAACTAGTTGCAGTTATCAGCTGCTACTAGAAGTTGGGGATGCTTCACAGACATACTGACGCCAGGATGAGGCGCAGAACCGAGTGTCTTAGCCATGTAAATAAGCCCGGTATTCACCTGACCCATCTCTTCCCCAAGGGAATAATTTTTTAAGTCGCTCAAGGGCAGTGGGACAGTGCATAGGGTGTGCTTCAGCAGTTGCTGCCTCCACTGCCAATAAACGCGTGTGAATGTGAGAGAGTTTGTGCGTGTGTAAGTGAACAGTTCGGTCGATTTTTACAAATCAAGCTAATCCTTTTTTAAATATAATAAAAATAAAAGTAAGAGATATATGGTATAACATTTCATATGGGAAGTGAAGCCCAGTCATAATTGTCTATGTATCTTCAGTGATTTTTATACCGGTATAATTTAGTTGCAGATTGTAATATATGTAATTGTTTTAATTGAATTTTTATGTTTATGGGTAATATCTGTTGTACAGTTATAATTATTGATGCTGTGCATAAATTACTGTAGAAAAATACAAAAAAAAAATGTTAATGTATATTTACGCAAAATTAATTGTTCTCCTGTTAATGGATTGTGAATTATGCAGAAGGCTCACAGGCTGTTGCAAATGGAAATAATATTTGGTTTGGTAGAAATAGTGATTAATACTCTTTAAAATCAGCTGGAAAAAAAAAATCATCAAAATTTGGCTTCCAAAAGCTGTTAGAAAATGAATTCTGTAGTTAGAAATGTTTCTGACATCTTGTGAGCCTACCACATTAGAATGGTAAGAGGAATATGATTCACAAACCATTGAGCAGTGTTGCGTATGAACACATCAGTCTCGGTCAGGCCTGTGTTCAAAAAAATGTTATGATCTATGGAATAAGGCATACTGCTTTTACATGTGTCAGCAATAGTGGGCCAGTTTCTGTATAACAAATGTTATTTGCCCATTATTCTGACTTTTTTTGTTTGTTTGATGTCATGAAATGAAGCAAAAGCTTTTGTTGTTGAGATGTTTTGTGGGTCTGTGCTCGGGCTGTTTTGCGTGTCTGGTCTCCAGACAGTGTCCCAAGTCATTGTTTGGCATTCGTATTGTTTATTGTGTGATGTGGCTGTGGGCAGGAAAGATAGTCTTGTGAGGGTCAAGCAAGGTCTGCCCAGCAATGTGTAGTAACTGTTGTTCTTGATCTATGTGGAGTGGAAATTCATCTTTTGACATGTAATTCTTATATGCGTATTGCATAAGAAATTTTGAAACTTCATTTTATATTGTAATATTGGAACACTTTAGATGTTTTGTGTTTTATTGAAACTTAAATGTGCTCGGGCAGTATTTACTGTATGTTTCTACTTGTAATAACAAGTAAGTGGATGTTTGTTTTGAAATCTGTAGTTGTGAAATTTGCGTAGTAGCCTGCTGTAGTTTTGCGAGGCAGCACTTGCTTGAAATCCTCAGACTTTTGTTGCCCACTGAGAGCTCTGCTGTTTGCCACTACACCAAACATACCTGCTAGAAAATTCCCAAGTCATGTAATGCAAGTTTATATTGTAAACGTTTTAAGGAAATAGCTTTTTTGCACGGTGTAGGTAGAGTATTATCAGAAACATGAATGGTTTCATCAGATGAAGCCGAGGGCAACCCTCATGTTCTTGTTTCTTTTTTTTTTTTCTCTTAGAGGAAACCGGGTGTCTGCGCCTTAATTAGTGCAAAGGCACTGCAGTGTTATTGTGTATAAACTTGCATTATAATGTATTTGCACATAAGCATGTTCAATTGGTCTGTTATTTTGAATGTATATATATTTGCACAGTGTTCAAATCAAATTTTTATCAAGTAAACAAAAATTGATGTTCTTACTTCTGTACTTCTAAAGTAAATTGAGAAGCAAATTATGAAGTCACCACAAAGATTTAGGATATAAGAGCAAAACCAGTGAATGAATGGGAAAAGGAAATTGACTCCAGTTTTGGATATGTCAGTAAACAAAGCTAGGAGAGCATATTCAATTACGATATTGGGCATCTTGCCTTTGTGACAATTTCCTGCAGCATGTTATGGGATGATCACCGCATTACTAGTGTTTATATGTAATACACACCATCTCTCTCAGGGTTGGGCTGGCAGGGGCTGGAGTTTTACCGGTGCAAACATGGTATGATGCTTAGCCGTTGGTTGCTTCAGCCTCGGCCCTAGCCCGTTACGGTTGCAGGTCAGGTGGACTTACAGATGGTTGTGTATTACAATTATATATGTCAGATGTAACACAAAAACAAACATGTGCATGGTATTTACTCTTAGCATTTTTTTGGTATACCAAACATATTGATATGAAGTGTACATGGTGTGATGAGTCAGTTGCACCATTACCAAGCTGTTTCTAAACTGGTGTTCCCTTTTCTGGTAACATTTGGTTTTTGGTATTGTTAAATGTTGTTGATCTCTATGGTTATCAAATAATAAGTGTATTACTTTGTAACAAATGTGATAAAATTTTGGCCATGAAATGGTGCAACAGCTCAACTTTTGGTTCATGTTTGGTTTGGTCTGTTATGCGTGGTTTCTTCTTGGCATTGCTTCCATTCACCATGTTGGGACGTTGGCACTGTGCAGTTGGAATGAACTTGTGTATTGCTCAACCAGGGCTCACCAGCTTAGTCAGTATTTTCCTGTACCATATGAATGGTTTATTTCAACATTAGTTGAGCCATGCACAGGTCTTGCCTATACTGTACAGGCTACTGCCTGTTTGTCTCGCTGACATAATGAAATCTACCTCAAATCTAAACAATTATGTTGTCAATCTTAAGCAGATTTATTACTGTAATGCAATACTTTATTAAATTTTGTTTTTGTTTATTTATTTTTGGGTCATTTTATGGAACCCTTGTTTTTGGGTGGTTCATGGAAACCTTTTCGTGCATTTTTTTTCTCTTTCTTTTTATAAATGAAAATTGCGTGTATATACTTCAAATATATGTTCAAAATTGTTGTTGGAAATTGGATTCTTTGCAAATTAATCAGGAATGCTTGGAGTGCTGTGGCTAGTAGCAGATTCAGATTTGAGCCAATTTCAATAACCAAATTGAATTATTGAAGTATTTTAGCAAAGTGCAATATTTGTGGGATGGTATTGTTTGACAGATACCAAGTATTAAAT